CTTCGTGTTTTTCACCGCGGGAGCGTGTAAAGCGCTTGCTGTAATGGGGCAGCGTATGATAAAAATAGGTACGAAATTTGTCATAATTAAATGTCTTATTAAAGTGCGGCTCTATTTAGTACGCCAATATCGCAGGTAAGTGCGCTTAACAGGTCCCTTCCGGGGTGAGCTGGTAGGAACTTTTGTATTGAATGCGAAGCGTTGATTAACGTTATTGCGACGACGGCGCGTTGGCCTAGACAAAAGTCAGCACTCGACCTTCGCTGCGGTGCGCAGACTTTTCCGGGCCAACGCGCCGTCGTCGCTTGCTGCGGTCTTCGCGCGCTCCTGCATTCGCACCTAACTGGAAAGTTGCGTGAATTTCGTTTAAGTACACAGGCGCACTTCAGCGCAATTGTTATACTTTAGTCAACTATAACGTCCGGGGATGTGACAGCACTTAACAGGGACTATAAAATCGCACTTTACTGGACAGGTTTCGCGCGATGCGATTGGCTTAGACCAATGCAACTGCGTTGCATTGGCCAAAATGGCTTGAATTATAGCCAATGGGTTGGCCAGAAAATACGAATTAATCCCCTGAGATGCTGGTACACCACGTAAACGTTCCTACCAGGATAAACGCACCTCTTTTGATTGCAATAGCGAACCGCGCGGTGCTATCTTTCCCTTCCATACAAAAAACAAGATTTGGTTTATTGAACTTGATACCAGATGGCGTGTGATTTTTTCAGTGTACAATGCGAGAAATATAATTTATCACATCGACCCCGGCTTCTCTATTTCCACAAAAGAAGTACATACTCGGTCATGGCAATTTATCTCGTCGATGGCAAATCAATCCACCCGTATCCGGACCAAGCGGAAATCCACCGAGGATTCCGAGGATAACTCCGGGTGTTATGGAAAGGTCCGTCGACAAAGTTCGAGCATGGAGTTGACCTTGCATCTGAGCCAAAAGGCCACGTCTTAGCCAAAAGGCCGCGGGTGCAAGCGGGCCAAAATACGATGTGTGGCTTGAATCGCCGTGTTGCGCTGATCGGTATCACTCGGCTACAGGTGCTGGGCAATGCATCCGCAGTACTACAGGTGCAGCTCCAAAATTGAACAGCGTCGTTTCTCTTCAAGACGCTGCTTATTGCTACTTTAGCCTCTGCGACCAAGGACAAGCCACGCCAACGAGTCACCAGCAATTATACATCTAACGGTCATCCTTGATGAGCTGCGTCGATGCCTCCGCTGTGTGACCGCATGCAACTGTAAAAATAGGCAAGCAGTCGGCGATACCGCACTTTTCCCGTCGCCTTGGCCGACGATAACCTCGGTGGTGTCTGAAGATATGTAGTGCAGTGAACGGCTTTTGCGCTATTGTCTATCGTACGTGCTATGTCCAAAGGCCAGAATGAGTCGCCGACGTCGACCTTGATCACGCTGCCTTGCGGTCCACAAGTGCCATGATGCGCCGGCGCAAACGCTCAGACCGATTGCGCTTCCAGTACGCCTCCTACAAATCGTCGATGGGCTCCAAGTCTCGGGACCGCCATCGCACCTCTTCTTCAATGGCCTCTTGAGCCCGGACTTGCGCAATAAACTCGGCCAGTTCGATGCGGCGGTCCTCGGCCGCAATGCGCCCGAGGCGGCCTACCGCCACCCGTCTCTCTCTGTTGATATTTGATAGTGGCTGGCCCTACCGCGGTACGCGCGTTGCATCGTCGTCGCGGCCGCTTGCTCGAGTGCTTGCCGCGCCTCGAGCTCGGCACGTCGGATCTTCCACTTGGCCGCCGCGGCCCGGCCCAAGTACCCCCGGTAAATCCGTTGCAGCTAAAATACGTGAAGTTTCACGACCAACAAAGAAGGTGCGTACAAAGGTCGCGGCTTTGGCTTCGCGCTTCGCGAGTCGGTTGTTTGCAAACAATTTTTGCCGCTGCGATTGGAGACGCTCCATTTCCTTTTGGCTCCGGCGCTCTTGGCCGAGTTTGGCCTTGGCGTGCGCCTCGTCGATGCGTCTACGCCACGGTCGGCGTGTCGCCTCGTCCATAGAATGAGGTTGTGTGTACCGCTGCCGCAGCTCTTGTTTTTGACGTTCGAGCTGGAGACCGGTGACGGGCTTGGCGACGTGCACCTTGGCGTGTTCGCTCGTGCGCGCGCCCCACACTTGCTTTTGGGCTTTGAGAAGGCTGAGGCCCCGAAAATACATCAGTGTCATGCAAAAGAGGCCAAACTTCAGCGCTTGCTCGGTCTCGTCGAGGACCTTGTCGGCCGCCGACCCTTTTTCTATCGCCTTCTTGCCGATGCGGAGCGCTTGCGCGTCAACCTCAATCGGCGTCCATTTCTCCAAGGGCGTGCCAAACTTGGCTTGTGTCGCGTGCATGTCGTGGAGCTCGTCGGCCGTCTTCTTGTCGGCTAGGAAAAAGCCAGAGACACTCAGTAACCAAACCTTGCATGCCTCCAACAATCGTAAGGCATACCAGGACTCATGTTTTCGAGACGCCGAAGCACTTGCATGTTGAGCGGGCCGTCCTTGTACAAACTGGGTACGTAGCCTTGCACCTTGCGCCGCGACTCGCGCTCGCCAAAGATCCAACCTACACCATATCCATATCGATCTTCATCTCGAGAGCGAAAGAGAATGAATACCTTCGAGCATCCATTCGAGAATGTCTTCGACAATCTCATGGGTGGTGAGCTGCGCAACCAGCGAATTTTGTTCCCGTGTCAACGCGGCCTTGACTTTTTCCGTCTACAGCAAAATACGCCTTGTCGATCGTGGTTCTCAACGACGCACCTGCTGCATTTGAACAAAGCCGTGGAGCGCGACAGTCTCAAACTGATCGTGGGGCCAGTTGAACGTCGCGTGCAACTCCGAGTCCACGTCGCGAAGCCGCAAGTGCTTGTCCCAGGTGCGAATTTCGGACGTGAGCTCGAGGAAGAGGTCCATCTTGCGCATCGAGATGGCCTCAACGCCGCCGCGGACAGCCGACATGCACAGACTCGAGCTGAGAACCGCCTACGCCAGCATCAACATGACCAATATGACCAAAACCGTAAAAATGGACAAAATTGTCTACTATAACACGAAAATATCACCTCTTTTGAGCGCTTGACGCGCTCGGTCTCGTCCTTGAGAAGGTGGATGCGGTGCACGATGGTGTCCTTGGTCGCGTTGAGGTACGGAACCCACGTGCACGGGTTTTTGCGGCAGGCCATGCACCCGCCAGGACCTAGATTTTTCTTCTCGAGCTCCAATTGCTGCTCTTCAATGGACCGTGGCACGAGGGCCTAGGATTGCCCTCTCATACCTGTCTATGGATACCAAACGTACGTCTTGAATCGCCCGTTTTTGCTTTTGGTAGCTTGGTTTGGCCTTTTTGTTTGTTTTTTGCAGCTGCTTGAGCGCAAGTTTCCGCTGCTCTTCGCGCGCCAAGCGCGCTTCAAGGTCCGAGTCCGAGTCGGACACGTGCGCGACGCCTTGCGTGGTCTTGGCGTCGTCGTCGCCGTCTTGCACGTGCAAGTTCAGAAGCGACTTTGGGTTCTGGAAGGCGCCCCATTCCGCCTCCTCCCGCTCCGTGACCTGGCTCAGGAGCAGTCGGTCGAGCTCCTTCTCGAGCTCGAGCCGCAACACGCTGGTCGGGAATCGCTGAGGCGCGCTGTGCAGGACACTCGAGTCCATAAACTCATTGGTACTACTGATTGCCTAGCCAGAGTCATGTAGCGCTGATCGGCATGCAGGTAGCGGACCCGATCGAGTTCGTGCAGCACCGAGCGACACCGTGCGTCGACGTCGACTTCGACTTTTTGACCGGCTTGCGAATGGTCGACGAGCGAATGCTTGATCGGCGCCGTTAACGCCGTTGACGGACCATGCACAAGCTCGTAGACAAACGGCCCGTCGTACGCGAGGACAAGGGCGCGCGCGCGTCGGGCCTCGGCATCCAGCGACGGAATCTGGTCGTCCGGCGTCTGAAGCAGCGCTAACAGCGAGTCGCGTGTCCATTGCTTGGCGGCCGGCACCGTCGTGAGCAAGCGCGAGTGGAGCTCGGGGTGTAAGAGCTTGTCGAGCGCGAGCCATGCTTTCTGGTCGGCATCGAGGGCATCTACCATGGAGCAGGACGAGTCAGTCATGGTTGACATTCACAGTGTGCTAGTATACCAAGGGGCAAGGACCGAAGGATGGAAGCGGACTTGTCGGCCGCGGTGATGGTGTGGTGCCGCAAGACACTTTCGTCGCGGAACTTGAGCATCGCTTTGCGAACCAGAATTTCTCTTCGCGAGAGTGCATTGTAGGGCGCGTCGACCAATCGCTGGAGCTCGGCCGCCGAGTAGGCGTTCATGTCGGCCTCGATTTTGGAAAGGCTGTACCCGATTGGAATCGTCGTCTTTTGGTTGAGCATGTGCGCGTGCTGCGACGCTTCTTGTTCCCAGAGATACTAATGACAAGATTGACCACACTTGAGAAACGGACAACAAGCGTACAAGGTCGGGGTGCACGATGCGGTCGAGCAGGACCCATTGCCGCTCAGCCGCGTCGAGCGACAGCTTGTTTCTTTTGTACTTGCGACGCACGCGCTGGGCCGACGTGAGGAGTTTTGGCAGCTGGTGCTTGAGCGCCGCGAGGTCCCGCCACCGCATCTTGGCCGTCTTGACAACATTGTACTCGGCGTTGAGCGCGTACGCCACCTATTTTTTGAAACATTGAAACGTTGAAACATTGAAACATTGAAACGACCTTGAAGCCGGACGTCGCGCCCTCGATGCGGGCGGCCGCGTACGGGAGGTGCTGACGCGCATACGTCAGCGCCGTCTCGAGCTCGGCGCGCTCCAATAGCAGCTTGGCGTGGAGCGACGCCAAATGGTGTAGTCCTACGTCAATACGTATGAGTGTCTGCATCGCAGGCAACAACACACCGCGTTTGATGTCGTGGATCTCGTCTTGCCGGATCGCGTGCAGCTTGCATTGCTTGGTGAACGCGCGATCAAGCGTTCGAATCTAGTCAGTTAGTTGCCGATGGAATTTTTGTACGACCGTACCTGCGCCAGCAGATCTTTGCGATTCAGTGTCGCCCCAGCGCTAGTTGGTGCGTCCAAGAGCCGCTGGAGCTGCCCCATCTTGGCTTCGTGTTCTTTCGCGCGGAGCATCGCAGCCGACGACGCCTTCTCGACCAGCTCCAACTTGCGCTCGGCCAGGCGCATGCTCTCCCAGATCTGCAACACTTCTTCGCGACCGACCTAGACAGCCCGTCGATGTATCCATTGCATCCATTGAAATATCGCACGGGCAAGCGGGCTTGTTGCGTCAGCGCAGAGGCCTTGGCGCGTCGCACAAACTCGGACGCGGGCATCGCTTCATGCATTGACACCGAGATCGAGTACGTCGTGTCCGACTACGTCAACACCGACTAAGAACATAGCAACGACTACGCGCGGCGGACAGGACACCCCACGACTATGTGGTAGACGCCTTGCGCGATCGGCACGCGGTTGGGCGCGTGGCGAAGCACGATGCGGCCCATGCTCTCGCTTGTGTTGAGCTGTACGTGGTCGTACTGGACTTGACCGATCGGCTCGGGCTTCCCGCTGGGCGATAAATGGTACAGCATGGCAGCGAGGCGGCCGAGCTTGTAACC